TCTAGTTTCATTTAAGAAAAAAAATACTGGTAAAATGAAAAATAAAATCCTGTTTTGTTTAACTGAAAGTAGAGCTAGGTCCATGCTTGATACTTAAGAATTGGTATGCTTTTTGATGCTTAGGTTCCCAAATGTAGCTAGTGGGAGTTCAGACGAGGTCCTCTCTTACTGACACGTCTTCACTAGTATTTAGCATTTCTTTTATTTTTCAAAGATTTTGAAGGTCATCTAGAAGGCACTTTTTTTTTACATTGCAAATTTCAGCATTGTAAAGTGAATATGGGTAGCTTAAATTCTTTTTAATTACTGTATATTTAAATTCCTTTAGTTCTCTATTTAAAATCTTCTGACCAGTGTTTGATTTTAAATCATTTTTATCATTGAATATAGTAGTTTTGTAAAGAGTCACTACCTTTCTTTTGTTTCATTTATAGGTGACCAAGTCAGTCATCGGGGTGCTCTTACTGGAGGTTATTATGACACAAGAAAGTCTCGACTTGAATTACAAAAAGATGTTAGAAAAGCAGAAGAAGAACTTGGGGAGCTTGAAGCAAAGCTTAACGAAAATTTGCGCAGAAATATTGAAAATATCCTTTGGTTTTGTGCTTAAGGACAGAAAAAACTGCGTTTTGGGGGGAGGTATCAGGAATTGAACTCAGGACCTCGCACTTGCCAGATAGACACTATGCCACTGGGCTATATCCTTGGTCCAAGAATCGCAGGGTTTTTTTTTTTTATTGTAATATATAATTTTTTTCATATTGGATGTGGTTTTTCATATGTATGAGGAGAAAGATGTTCCATGTGTTTCCCTTTGGCTTTAATTGAAGCTGAAGAGTTTATGTTTGTTTAATTTCTAAAGACTTAGGGACTGGCTCAGCAGCATAAATGCCTGTCTGGCAAGCACAAGGTCTTGAGTTTAATGCCCAGTACCAAAGGAAAAAGAAAAGGTTTCTGTGTAAGGAGTAAGCAGAAAAACTAAAGAACTATTACTGATTCTTTGCTCAGTTATTAAATACCTCTCAGTGATTCTTCCTTTGAAAGAAAAGGCTGTAAAACAAAAGTTTGAGGTTACTAAGCAAAGAAAGTAAAAAGACTGGTCAGTGAAGTGTTTCGAGGAGGAGGGTGGTAAGGTAATAGCAAAACCACATACTATGTAGATGTCAGATGTGGTATATAAACTGAAAAAAATGTCCATTAGATTTTATTTTGAGGTTATTTGGTACAGATTCAGTACTAGTAGGGAAAATGGACCACAGATACCCTAATCTCAGTAATCACAGCTGCTCTTTCAAATAAAAACGATACATCTGGTACTTTGGTATGAGGTGAAAATACTTGCGTATAGTGTCCTTCCTATTTTTTGTCACAGTGCTTAGGATAAAAGTGCTTGAGCATTAAGAAAATCAATTTTTGCTGCTATACGACTGTACTTGAAAGGCTGGCCAGATAGCTCAGTGGATGACCCGGGTTTGGTCCCCATCCTGCTGTGCTGACCCTGCACGTGGGGCGTGCTAGTTGACTGAGACTGGGTGTGGTGGTGCACCCTTGTAATCCCAGCTCTTGGCAGGCGGAAAACGAGAATCACTACAAGTCCCATCTGTGTAGTGAGACCCTGTAGGCCCTGTACTGAAATACAAAAAAAATAAAGACTGTCTATATAAAATTATTTTTTTGAACTGCAGATTTTTAGCTGTGTACCATTGGTGCAAAAAATGTAGAGAAAAAGACAAGCATCTTAGGTATGATCTTACAAGGATCTGCATTATCATATCTTATGAACTATTTAAATCTCACAGGATGTTAGCACAAAGAAAGGGAACAAACTACAAAAAGAAGGATGCTGGCAGCATCTACCAGCTGCCTGCCTGTTCTAAATAGCCCTATGGAATATATTTTCACAATGAGCAAGATGTGCTTTCCATACTTTCCTCCCTAAAATAGTGCCTTAAGCATACTGGATTTCATAGTAAATATTTGTTGGATGAAAAGTATTTAAAAATACAAAAAAACCCATTTGATCTCATGTAGATTTTTAGATTTGTAACTTTTTTTTTTTTTTTTTGGTTACCAGCAGTTGAACTCAAGACCTTGCACTTGCCAGGCAGATGCTGTGCCACTGAGCTGTGGCCCCAGCCCTTTATTTAGTTTCTTTTAGGAGATTCCCAAATGTATTTCTCTCTATACAAACAGGGCAAAAGCTTCCTGGTGGGAGGGGATGGTAGAGGGAAGCTACTTCCCTTGTGGTAGCCAGGAATGGAGCAAGAGCACGCATGGAGGCTTTCTCCTACTTGCATTCCATCCGGGATCCTGCTGCACTGGACGGTGCTGCCTACATTCAGAGCAGGTTTCCCCCATGAGTTTGTGTCATATGTGACCATCATCTCTAAAAACGATGTGACAGACCCACAGAGACTATAATTGCCTAGGTGTCTCTTAATCCAGTTAAACTGATAATTGGTGTCATCCATTAGACATAGTAATATTTACTTATGTAAAATAAGTATATGTTGCTTTGAGAGTAGGATGATTAGATAAAATGTTTTCAGATTGAATGCTTTCAGCACTTGTATTTAGTTTAGCACTGTGGCTTATAGATTTTGGAAAACATCTTACTTAGAGGTAAGAAAAAAAGGGGAGAGATCATGGTACATTGTCTTTCATAATTGATGAGAACTTAGAGCATGTATTTGTAGCCTGGAAAGTTTTCCTTAGCATTGTATATGGATTAATAATGAAATCGATCAGTTGATGAACCAAATGCAGCAGATTGAGACACAGCAGAGGAAATTTAAAGCATCCAGAGATAGCATATTATCAGAAATGAAGATGCTGAAAGAGAAGAGACAGCAATCTGAGAAAACCTTTATGCCTAAGGTCTGTAAGTATGTCTTTTGTTAAAGGTCTGCTTTACTTATGTAGAGTTGAGGGGCCTATGTTATATGGGTTATCAGTGCATCTCAGACATTGCATTTTTGTTTGGACCTAAACTTTCAGATACCTGCATCTCTCTCTGTCATACTCAACACTCACATACCCAGTGTTCCATTGTAGGTTGCGTTCAAACCTTGTACCTTAATTGGGCAAATGGGTGTTTTGAGCCATGAGGTAACACTTTCTGACTCTCAGTATTTAATTTCTCAGTAACTATTTTTGTCTAGTAAGCCCTGTGTAGCTTTTTGAAATTCAGCCGTATTTTGTTCAAATTCTGTTAAGTCTTTAAAAGGTTAGATTTTTATTGGCTCAAAGTTCAGTTTTGATCAAAATTATTTCAATATCTCAGTAGTCCTAAAGCAGTAAGTGGTGTAACACCTACCTGCCATTCATGATGCCCTGAGTTTAGTTCCCTAGTATTAAAAGTTTATTCTTGGAGTCAGTTACATTGGCACACCTGCCTGTAATCTAAGTGCTCAGCAGACCAAGGCAGGAGGATCACCAGTTCAAGGCCATCGGGGGCACTTTGGCAACATCTTTTAGAAAGGAATGGGAATGAGCTCAGCAGTAGTCCACTGCCAGGCCCCTGTGAGCTGCTGTATGCAGTTACCAGGAAGCAAGGCCCCCAGGTGCCCCTCGGCTGATAATGGATTGTGTCCTGGCAGACCCATCTGAAGTTAGAAATACTACGAGTAAAGAGTATGTAATGTTGTCAGTCTATGAAATATTAATGATGTGTAGTGCCTAATATTTGAATTTTAATTAGTTTAGCATAAACTAATTAGTTTAATACAAGTAGATTATTTCTGGTTTTTAACTATGGGTAGTGGATTCACTGATTCTTCTTTACTGCCATCTAGCAACGAAGCTTACAAAGTTTAGAGGCAAGTTTGCACGCTATGGAGTCCACCAGAGAATCATTGAAAGCAGAGCTGGGAACTGATTTGTTGTCTCAACTTAGTCTGGAAGATCAGAAAAGAGTAGATGCACTGAATGATGAAATTCGTCAACTGCAGCAGGCAAGTATGCTTGACAAAAAAGTCACTGAAATTGGCTGTTATGAAAAGTGCCTTTCTTAGGGCTGGCCAAATAGCTCAGCGGGTTAAAGCACCTGCAAGCAGGCACGGGGCTGAGGGTTCAATTCCGAGGCCTGCTGTGCCGGCCCTGTCCCTGGGGCACGCTGAGATGGCAGTTGAGACTTGGTGTGGTGGCGGATCACTGTAAGTCCGATCTATGCAGTGAGACCCTGAACACTCTGTAGACCCTGTCCTAAATACAAAAAAAAAAGAAAAATAAAGTGCTTTTCTTGCTTAGAAAAATGAATGGTAAAGAAAAAAAGAACATTGAAAAAATACAAAAATGATCTGAATGCAGTAGTGCAGATCTGTTACCCCAGCTACTTGGGAGGCTGAGGCAGGAGGATCGCAAGTTGGAGGGTAGCCTGGGCCGTTCAGCAAGACTTGTCACAAAAGAAACAGAAGGCATAGATAGCTTACTAATAACCATAAATTTTTGGTTATTTTAAGTTTTTGGCAGTAAGTTTTTGTAAGCCTTTCTGGATATGATAGGATTTGTATTAGAAATATATAGTGTTCATTTCATTTACGGCACATTTTCTCATTAGTAAGATGGGCTTGTTAGCTCAGTATGCCTATAGGTATGCACACATACGTGCTGATATGACTGCCGTGTATGTTTAGTAATGGTTTTTTTTGTTTGTTTTTGTTTTTGCGTTACCGGGGATTGAACTCGGGGCCTTGGCGCTTGCCAGGCAAGTGCTTATTCTACTGAGCTAGCTCCCCAGCCCCTTAATAATGTTTTGGTTAAACACTAGTAACATTTGATATTTTTTAATGCATAGATGTAAACAACCAACTTTGAATCTAAAAACTGAAAAGCAGAAACAGTATTTGGCAAGATGTTTTATAAAAAGAGCCGGGCACACACAAAATCCGTGTTCTGTCACATAGGTGAAAAAAAGGACCGGCCAGATAGCTCGGTGGATTAAAGCGCCTGCTTAGGCAGGTGCAGGGACCAGGGCTCAATCCCAGCGTACTGTGCTGGTCCTGCCCTTGAGGCACGCTGAGATGGCGACTGAGACTGGGCGTGGTAGTGTGCATCTGTAATCCCAGCACTTGGGCGGCTGAAAAACAGGGAAAATGACTGCGAGTCTGATCTATGTAGACCCTGTACTAAATATATTAAAAAAAAAAAATAGATAAGAAAAAATGAAGAACAGGACGTAGTGGAAGGCTAGAATATAGAACATTCCAGTTTAGCTCATGTGAGCACAGGTGTGGGGAGAGCAGCAGATGAAGGGCGCTCCTGCCTGTGAGCTGCCTGTGCTTATGTGGACAATTAATATGCCATTTTCATTTTTATTTCTCTTATTTGTAGGAAAACAGGCAGTTGCTAAATGAAAGAATTAAATTGGAAGGTATTATTACTCGAGTAGAAACTTACCTCAATGAGAATCTCAGAAAACGCCTGGACCAAGTAGAACAGGTACATTGTCCTTTGTGAGTGTTCCCTTGGACACATGACCTCCTGAAAGCGTGGCTGTGAGACTGAATAAGAGAGTTGTGGAGACGGAGAAACCAGCTGTCTGACCAGAGGCTGTGGTTTGGGCTAGTGTTGGGATGTGGGGCAAGTCGTGTAATACCTCTATTCAGTTTTCGTTCGTGTTAACTAAGCACAGTAGTAGTACCTGCTTCATATAATTCCTGTCATGGCATGATGTAGGTGCTCAGTAAATGTTAGTGTTTTCTCAGTACTGTCTGATACTGAGAAATTTTTCAGTAATTATATTACTACTTTTGTTTCACTTTTAATGGATGCTTTCAGTATTTCCAAATCGATGTATGTATATATTTTTTGCTTGAATGTCCAAACTGTGTTATTGAGCCTTTTGTCACGGTCATACAATAGTTTAAAAAGTCAATTTAAAGGAGGAAAGATGGATGTTGTCTAATGGGTTGGAAGTTTGAGTCCACAGTCCACTGACCCCGGGCACATAGTAGGGCAGAAGCTTCCTGGTGGGAGGGCATGGTAGAGGAAAGCTACTTCCCTTGTGGTAGCCAGGAATGGAGCAAGAGCACGCATGGAGGCTTTCTCCTGCTTGCGTTCCATCCAGGATCCTGCTGCACTGGATGGTGCTGCCTACATTCAGAGCAGGTTTCCCCCATGAGTTTGTCATATGTGGCCGTCATCTCTAAAAACGATGTGACAGACCCACAGAGACTATAATTGCCTAGGTGTTTCTTAATCTAGTTAAACTGATAATAATCAGTATTATCTGTTACACACAGCAATAACTATAGAAACCCTTGGACATCATAACATTTTGATACTCGTAAAATTCATATTTTGTGGTTTAATGTTTTGCAGGAATTGAATGAACTAAGAGAGACAGAAGGGGGTACTGTTCTCACTGCCACAACATCAGAACTTGAAGCCATTAATAAAAGAGTAAAAGACACTATGGCACGATCAGAAGGTAGATTTTTATGTAGTAAAATGAGATTTAGCTTGTTTCTTTAAATCACTACACAGTGCAAACTAAGCAAAAATTATGTGCTTATATTTTCCATCATCGAGTAATTTATATTAAACGAAGCTTAGTGATTTGATGATAAATGATAACTTTGTTGAAATGTTTCTGACAGTTTTGAGTTTGAGTGTTTTTAGCCAAAAGATAACCTGTAAATCAAGTTTCTTATCATTTAGTTGCTGAGGAGAAAATTTTTAGCTTTATATAAATGTGAACATAAAATAATGAAAACAGTTTAGTGTGCAGTTTCAGAATGAGTTTTAACGAGACTCTTACTCATAACTTTGTCCTGAAAAAAGTGATTTGTAAATTTACACAGTAAAATTTGAACATTGAAAAACCTAAAGTCTACCTGTTTGGGGAGATCTTATTCATAAAGTCTTTACTCAGAAAACATTTGGCTTTTAAATGTATTGTGCTCCTAATTTTTGTTTTTCCTCATCTTATTTTTTAAAAAATTTCTTTCCATTAGTGTGTGTTTATAGTACATAGTGGTTATATCCAGTATGAGGAGCTGGTTACCTGACACATCTTAATTCTTTTTTCACCCCTCCCTTGTCTTTTGTTGTCTTAGACTTGGACAATTCCATTGATAAAACAGAAGCTGGAATTAAGGAGCTTCAGAAGAGTATGGAGCGTTGGAAAAATATGGAAAAAGAACACATGGATGCTATAAATCATGATACAAAAGAATTAGAAAAGATGACAAATCGGCAAGGCATGCTACTGAAGAAGAAAGAAGAATGTATGAAGAAAATCCGAGAACTTGGATCACTTCCCCAGGAAGCGTTTGAAAAATACCAGACACTGAGCCTCAAACAGGTAAATGCTGTTTTAAGTTTGGTTGTGTCTGTTTTGGCCTACTCAGGCTGCCCTAAGGGCAGGTCTGGGGATGGAATGGCAGTCCCCTGCGCCTGACTGGGCTTGCCAGAGCAGGTGCTTAAACAATTGAGCAAGCCCCTATTGTTTTATTAAGTTTGAACCTACCTTTTTTTTTGGCCCAGCTCAGCCCACTGAGGGCAGGCTCATGCAACAGCGGTCCCTGCACCTGCCTAAGCTTGCTTTAGCAGGCACGTCAGACCACTGAGCTATCTCGCTGGCCCATCTTAAGTTTGAAGTCTCAACACAAATGTCCTACAGTACATGAATTCATACATGTATTTTTTCTCTTTGTAGTTGTTTCGAAAACTTGAACAGTGCAACACAGAATTAAAGAAGTACAGCCATGTTAACAAAAAAGCTCTGGATCAGTTTGTAAATTTCTCTGAGCAGAAGGAAAAGTTAATAAAACGACAAGAAGAGCTTGATAGGGGTTACAAATCCATCATGGAACTGATGAATGTACTTGAGCTTCGAAAATATGAAGCTATTCAGTTAACTTTCAAACAGGTACATTTCTACAGTATTTATTGTTACGGTGTACAACAGGACAAAGCTTCAGCTCTTACTTGCAGAGTAGCTCCAATACCTGTGAACAGAGCATGCCTGTAAGGAGCTGACATAGTAATGTCAACGTTGTATACATCTCTAAGAAGATTGTAAGAGGGGTTTTTTGTTAAAATGCTTCTGCTGGCTTTTAAGTGTTAGTGTTTATGCAGTAATATCTATAGTTCTACCTAAGCAAAATGTACATTTGAATTGAAACTCTTCTTTTAAGGTGTCCAAGAACTTCAGTGAAGTATTCCAGAAGTTGGTACCTGGCGGCAAAGCTACTTTGGTGATGAAGAAAGGAGATGTGGAGGGCAGTCAGTCTCAGGATGAAGGAGAAGGAAGTGGTGAAAGTGAGAGGGGTTCTGGGTCGCAGAGCAGTGTCCCATCAGTTGACCAATTCACTGGAGTTGGAATTAGGGTAATACCTTTACATTGACTCTTTTCAGGGAGCATCGTTCCATAGTAGAATTTGTAGATTCTTGTGCAAGTCTAAATTAGTATATTACATGCAACTTTATTTTAAGTAGTGTTGATTCTACCATTAACTCAAGAACTTTTTCTTAGGTGTCATTTACAGGAAAACAAGGTGAGATGAGAGAAATGCAACAGCTTTCAGGTGGGCAGAAATCCTTGGTGGCTCTTGCTCTGATATTTGCGATTCAGAAGTGTGATCCAGCCCCTTTTTACTTGTTTGATGAGATTGATCAAGCTCTGGACGCTCAACACAGAAAGGCTGTATCAGGTACAGTTTGTTTGCTTGATGCTGGGGTTTGAATCCAGAGCCTTGAGGTTGCTTGGTAAATGTTCTACTAGGAGCTGTATTTCTAGCTCTTCTGGTTTTGTTTTGTACTTAATGGTGAGAATTTGTTTAGAAATGAGACCTCTGACATAGTCATTTGTTGTGCCTAAGATACTGAGAGGGGATGGTATATGTTCAATTAAATAATTTTCTTTTTTAGTAGATTGGGGTTTTTTGTTTTGTTTGTGACAGAGTCTCACTGTATAAATCACACTGGCCTTGAACTCACTATGTAGGCCAGGCTGGCCTTAAGCTCATGGCAATCTCCTGCCTTAGCTCCCAGGTGCTGGGATCATAGGTATGTGCCACCACACCTGGTTTTTTTTTTTTTTTTTTTTTTAAGATTAGACCTCTTTTTTTCAAAGTTTAGATATATGAGAAATAGATAAAGTTACTTGTTAAGTGATGCTCAGATTAAATTTTTATTCAAGTTTAATATTTAAACATGTTTTTCTCAGTGTTGTAGTACCTATCATAGGTAATGTTAATTATTAAAGAATCTAATTCTTATAAATTCAAAAGATTAGGGCTGAAGAGATAGTTTGGCAGTCTAAACGCCTGCCTGGCACGCACGCACAGGGACCCAAGTTTGATCCTTGGTACCATATGCCATGCTGGCCCTGGAACCCGGGGTAGGGGGGAATGCCAGCCCAGTTGGCTGAGACAGGAGGATCACTATGAGTCTAAACTGTATAGCGAGACTCTGTATCAAATAAATAAAACAAAAAACCCCAAAAGATTGGGGGGAAGGTTGGCAGATGGAAAATGATTGTTTTTGAAATGTGTGTGAACTTTGCTGTGGTTTCTAATGTTGTACTAGAACATTTCTTCTTCATGTTCAGCATAACTTCCACAGTCTGTGGCTTTAGGCTATTTGGGTTATCCCTGTGCGGCAGCACACATCTGTAACCCTAGCTGCTTAGGCAGAACAGGATTGCGAGTGTGAGGCCACCTGAGGCTATGCAGCAAGATTGTCTCAAATAATAATAATTTAAAAATTAGACCTCATTTATGAAATTAGGTTGGTATTTTTTACAGAGTATGTATGGGAAATATAAGTCATGGGCTCTTCTGAAAGATACATGTTTAAGGTAGAGTAGTTGAATCTATTAAGGAGTTTATTATTTCTTTTCACAGATATGATCATGGAACTTGCTGTACACGCTCAGTTTATTACAACTACCTTTAGGCCTGAACTGCTTGAGTCAGCTGACAAATTCTATGGTGTAAAGTTCAGAAATAAGGTAATCTGATTTTACAGAGTTTAAGTGTGCTACTATTCCATTGTATTTGTTGAATTCTGATTTTATGTTGTTAAATGGTGAAAGATCTAAATCATTGCTCATTGGTTATCTTTAATTTTTCTTCAAATACCTATAACAGAGTGGGCATAGTGGCCTCTGATCTGGGCTGCTTGCAGGGCTGCGGCATTATTTTCATTGACCCTAAAAGGCAGTCAGTACCTGTCAGATCTGCTCAATGCTTTTTAATGCATGAACTTAACAGGTACTTACATTAATTTATATGTGGTTGAAAGACCACATAGGTTTTCCTGATGTCTTCCAACTTTTCAATTCTTGGATGAAATAGCAAAGTAATACAAGCTAAACAGAAGGGCAGTTTGAGCAGATAGGCACAGGTAGTTGTCTCTACCTTCAGAGCATTAAAATGAAGGATGTTTTTTTGAAACCCTTATGGAACAGACATTGTAAATAAAGGTTTTAATAGTGCTTCAGTCATTTGACCTATATCAGATTTGTAGGTGATGGCTAGGCTGCAGGTTCTATGTATCACCCCTTATAGAGTATAAATATGGTCCTGCTTTCTGAGCTTCAGCTGACTGCCTCTTTGGCACTGACTGTCCCTCAGGTGAGCCACATCGACGTGATTACAGCGGAGATGGCCAAGGACTTCGTGGAGGACGACACCACGCATGGCTGAGCACACCTACCATTCGGGAGACTTATACGGGGGTGCGGCTCTTAGACCAGGAAACACAGGGGCTGTAAATTTAAGCCTAGATTTTCGGACTTTGGAGTATACGTAATCCTTTTCTAGTTCTGTCTTTGTATTTTGTATTCTGTGTAATATTTCTACTTATAGTTTTAAAATTTTATTTCTCACAGTGTTTTGTAAAGTGTCCTTCTTTAAATCCTTTGAAACATTCTAAATATTCTTCCTTAATTTTATCAGTTATATTGCCTCTTTTTGTATAGCTTCAATTAAATAATGGATTTTATGACAGTGCTTTATGTGGCTTTTATTTTTCATCATACTGATTAGAAATAATTTTTTCTAAACCATGTACTTTTTTGTTAAGGTATGTGGTATAAGGTCTCACTACACAGCTTGAACTCATAGTGATCCTCCTGCTTTCAGCCTCCCCAGTGCTGGGATTACAGGCATACACCACTACACCAAGATTCTGGCCAGTGCAGTCTGCCCTGGGGCAGGGCTGCCGTGTAATGTGCCAGGGTTTGAAGTCTGTCCCTGCACTTGCCTAAGCAGATGCTTTTGTCCACTGACTTATCTCGTCAGCCCCTGAAACGTACACTTTTTATTTTGCCTAAGAAAGGTGATTTTTCACAGAAGATTTGAAAATATAGCACTATATTCTATAT